TTTGGTCACCACACTATAAAAAAGATGTTGAAACTCTAGAAAAGTTATAGAGAAGAGCAATCAGGATGATTAGGTTACTGGAGTCTAAAACATGAAGAATGGTTACAGGAACTGGGCTTGGCTAGTCTAGTGAAGAGAAGGACCAGGGGAGACATGATAGCAATCTTCCAATATTTGAGGGGCTGCCACAGGGAGGAAGGGGTCAATCTATTTTCTAAAGTGCCTCTAGGCCAGACAAGGAATTATGGATGGAAACATGAACAAGGAGAGATTTAACCTGTAAATAAGGAGAAACTTTCTGACAGTGAGAACAATCAACCAATGGAATAGCTTGCCCTTGGAAGTTGTAGAAGCGCCATCACTTGAGACTTTCAAGAAGAGATTGAACTGCCATTTGTCAGAAATGGTGTAGGGTCTCCTGCTTGGGCGGGGGGTTGGATTAAATGACCTATAATGTCCCTTCCAACTCTGATTATCTGTATCTGTTATCTGAATTCCTCCTCCAGTCATGTTAGCTCAGGAATTCTGGGAGTTGAAGTCCACAGGAGTCTTGAAGTCTTAAACTTGCCAAGTTTGAAGACCCTTCCAGTAGATCTTCTTGCTAAGTTGGCAATTTTACAAGTAGAGAGTGACATTTGCTCTCCATAGTCCAAGCTTGGTCGAATGTTGCCAACCCAGGCCTATCCCATAAGATGGTTGAATAGGGCACCATTACAACTCTTCCTCTATTTTTGTTTATTTTGTTGTAATGAGACTTCACTTGAGCAGAAATACATTTAGCTTTTCTCTGAAATTTATTCAAAAAGCCGCTTTGGGAAATCAGTTTCTTGATTACCACTGCAATCACTCCTTTTTAAACACAATCTTTCAAAACTAATGTGTTTTAATACACTGCTGAATTGACAACTATAGATGTAACTCGTATAGTTGTCTTCAATTCCATAAACATTTTAGGTACCAAAGAGCCACCCATTGGTTTTACTCTCTGCTGCCCAGGGAGAATTTCTCCTCCAGAATTTCTCCCCCTTTATATTTTATAATTTAAAGAACTACATACAAATGCTGGTTTAAGTTCAAAGGAGACTTGTGCACGTGTTGAAAAACATGTAAAGTATCCTGGAGTCTTGGTTTATTTATTTTACAAAGCAAAATTATACAATGTGATCAGGCTGATATAAACCTTTCTAAGACGACAATTTTGTAGTGTAATTGTTCTTCTATAGGTGTACTAGTCATTTTTTGTTGCAAGACTTTTAAAATGACTTTTAAAACTCTGCATTGCAAATGTTGAATGTTGAATTAGTTTCATTTTTAAAGGCAAACCAATACTAACTAGGATTAGTTTCTGATATCATTTGATTCATGTTGGATTTGTTTGGCCAGGAATATTGAAACCTGCTAGGGGAAGATGCCACAAAAGAATTATTTTACATTGTTCTGACTTCTGCTGATGTGAATGGTGATGCGGGTTTAGAATAGAATAGAATAGCACAGTTGGAAGGGACCAACCCCCTGCTTAGGCAGGAAACCCTCCACCACTTTAGACATTATCGAATCCCTTCTTAAAAACTTCCAGGGTTGGAGCATTTACAATTTCTGGAGGCAAGTCATTCCTCTGATTAATCATTCCAATTGTCAGGAAATTTCTCCTTAGTTCTAGTTCCTTCTCTCTCTTTGATGAGTTTCCATCCATTGCTTCTTATCCTGCCTTCAGGTGCTTTGGAGAATAGCTTGACTCCCTCTTCTTTGTGGCAGTCCCTGAGATATTGGAACACTGCTATCATGTCACCCCTAGTCCTTCTTTTCATCAAATTAGACATACCCAGTTCCAACAACCGTTCTTTATATGTGTTGGCCTCCAGTCCCCTAATCACCTTAATTGATTTTGTTTAACAGCTTTCCTTTCAGTAGACATGTCTGAGTATTCCTCACCTATGCAGTATCATGATAGTGTAATTACATAATCAGTGCTCCCTTTGCTCATCATTTCACTTAAATGGAGAGACAGAATCACCAAGAGCAGGCAAAAAGCAAGAGGGGCAAGAGGAACTTCAAATATCTCTGAAGCCCTCATTTAATTTTTTTATGGGAATCTAGCAGAGAGCACAGGACATTTTTCTCCTTTCCTTTCCCTTCCCCTCCCTCCCCCTTGAGCAGGCACATGAGTGGCTGCTGCTGGGTAGAGAAGGGAGCAAGGGATTACTAGAATGGCTGGGAAACTGTCACAGAATATTGAAAATTAAGACCATGTGTCTACAGCAGCCCAGCAGTGTAGCACTGAAGCAAACCCAATTTCCATTCCTTGGGAATCATGGTCCCTGGATTTTGGACACATTCTGTAAGTTAGCCCTTTGAAGTACCATGGTTCAAAAATTGTCCTATGATACATCCTTTTGCCAAGTTAAAGATCATAGCAATGAGAGTTTTAGAAGTATATAGATGTCTTGACACCCATGAGTTAAGCTTGATTCCTGGTGACTACTTGTCCAAATGGTGTTTTTGGTAATACAGGGAACTTATCTCTGATTGGTTGATTGGTTGATTGATTGATTGATTGATTGATTGATTGATTGATTGATTGATTTGGGATATTTTTAGCTTCCTAGCCTAGTCTGCAGTTTTGATGTTTTCTGTTCAGGTCATAATTGACCTGCTTAGCTTTTTCCAAGATGAAGAATGGAATCTGGCATAAATACTCCCCCACTCATTTCCACCCCAGAAAATATATATAATTAAAATTGAATGGCTGATATTATTTTTAAGAAGTTGAGTTAACTTGAAACTGAGAATAATAAGTGGCTATTTCTAAATCAATTGGAGATCATTTCTTTTCTTAATTTAAAATAATATATTAATACCAAATGTGTTCAATATAATAAAGTCTCTATATATTTGCAGTGAACAAACAAATAAGAATGCTTAACTAGAGTAGTTTTCATGCCATACAAGTCACAAAAAGTATAATCTAAATAGAAAATAGCTACATAATATAAAATAAATGTGCCTAAGAAATTCCCATCAGGATTTGTTTAATCTCAAGATTTATTAGTAAACTTAGATACAATTTTAATCAAATCAAATTTTTATTATGGTCACGGGTAGCACATAATCAATTAGATATGTTTGATTGTTAATTAATAATATTCTAGCAATAGCACTTAGATTTACGGTATATACCACTACCTAGTGCTCAGCACTCTCTAAGTGGTTTACAGAGTCAGCCTAATGCCCCCAACAATCTGGGTTCTCATTTTACTGACCTCAGAAAGATGAAGGGCTGAGTCAACCTTGAGCTGGTCAGGATCAAACTCCTGGCAGGGAATAGATTTAGCCTGCAATACTGCATTCTAACCACTGTGCCACCACGGCTTTTACTTCTATTTGAAGTACTAATAAAATCCTGTTAAAGGTTTAGGTAAGTGTAGATGCTAACAATTATGCCTACATTGAATTCACACACAGAGAGAGAAAAATGGTGAGTGGGCACGAAACACTTTCCAATCACCAATCTTCCTGCAGTTAGATAACTACATAAACACATAGTGTTTGGATTTGATTTTGTTTTGTAAATGCCAAATATTATGTCTTAAAGCTGTTAGTGTGCTGCTGATCATTTCTTATTGCTGTCTATTTTAATGCATTGTCTTGCCAGCCTTAATATATATTTTATCTCTAACTTTAGAAACTATTAACTCAATCATTTATATGATTAAAATGGGGCCAAACTGATCATACTACCTGGATTGTTAATTTTACCTGGAGATATCCCAACAATTTTTTTTAACTAAGTTTATATTTGGGGTTAGCTTCTTCTGGGCATTCAGCTAAGGCTAAATGATTAATTTCTTGCTTAGGAGTCAAACCCCCCTCCCCGCCACAACACAAGCTTAAAAATGGAATAGCTATTTTTTTTTTTTTTTGAAGTGTTTATAGTAGAATATCAATGTTGGCAAGGAAGATAGAAGGAGGTGACATAAAATAATTGTGAAAGTTAATTTAAGTTGAGTTGAAATTTATGTGAAGGCATGACCCATAGCCATCAATGAGGGGAGAGACAAGAGATATAAAATCTGGCCTTGAACATTGGCCTACAAATATCAAGAACATGGTCTATTCCATTCCCATTTAATCAGCTTTATGTTTCACCCTCTTTGTATCTTACTTTGGTAGTGTAGGACATGACCAGGCTGAGCCCAATAATGGGGTCAAATGCATTATTGATCTAGAGTCCCTACAACATGAAAGAGACTTAAAGCCAACCTCCCCTTGAAATCTGCTGACTCTTCTGGAGGCAACATGCTTTGGCCTTTAATAGATCAGATTCTTGGGTAAAGGTAGCATGAAATAAACACCCAGTGCTTTTGAACACAGTGCTTTTGAACTCTATTCTGGCTCCTGTTTTTTTTTTTTTTTTTTTTGCATCTGACATTTCTCATCTATACCCAGAATCCAGTCTTGGCAAACAACCATTCTAATTGAGCCACCCTCAGATTTCCCCTGAAATTGACTTTTTAAGCAATGGCGACTGTCAGAGGTGTGAGGAATGAGGAAAAGAACCAGATTACCTTATGACAGCCCTGGCAAGGTTTTCCTAAGCAGAGTTGATATTCAGCTGGTTCGGACCAGTTCTGGTGTACCAGTTGTGGAAATTTTGAGTAGTTCAGAGAACAGGCGAATACCACCTCTGGCTGGCCCCATCCACCCCCACCTTTTCCTGTCTTATATTCCCTTGTTGTTGTTTTTAGCTCAGCTGATTTGCATGGCAGAACAGATTGCCGTGCCTCAGCTGAGCTAATAAAACAGCTCACCCCACTAGCGCTGATGGAGAAGATGGTTTTTGAGTGCTGCACATGTGCACTCTTACAGAACCAGTAGGAAAAAATGTGGAATCCCATCACTCGTCATAAGTCTTCTGCCCATTGCATCAATAATTTCTGAAGATGTCCAGTTTTCCCCAGGGACCAAGGACATAAATCTCTTTTGTTGCTCTTTGTTTGCAGATTCAAGACCTCTGCCAGATGTCGCCCTGACCGGAAAGTGCACCCGGGAGTGTGATGAGTATGGCCACTCTGACTCCTGTTGGATGCCCGTCCGCACTTCACCCGAAAGGAAGCCGAAAAACCAGCCCAAACTCTCCACTTTCATGCCTGTCGATGAACGGGGCAGTCCGGAGAAGCTGGCCAACGGAGAGGCCTCCCTGATGGGCGATCGCAACAGGAACCTCCTGAACAAAAAGTTGACCTCATCTTATGAGACCTTCAGTGCAGCTAGCTTCAGCAAAAGCGAAGAAACCAACCCAGAGGATATTCCCCTGGCACAGACAGGGGAATACAAGCCATCTACTATCAATACTTTAACTCGAAGGGAAGTTTATCTTTAGGGGATCAGGAAGTAACAATGCCGGTTCTTTCCCAGAGCAGAAAGGCCCGAAGCCGATCACTCAAAACCATTGGAAATTGGGAAGGAAGCAACCAATCTGTCAAAACCAACGGGGCTAACCAAAGAGACGAAGGCCTGGCTTGCTTCTTCTGCCTCCCTGCCAGGCATTTACATATCCGGTCTGCCTGACTATATTGTACAATGTAGAAACAATTGTTGTCCCTGCATGTCTTAACACCGTGATCACCTGTTCTTTTTCTTATTATTTTAATTTTTCAAAAAAAAAAATTACCGTTATAGATTCCTTACTAGGGAACAAACCTGAAATTGAAACAGAAACATAAACCATGAGATAGAAATTCTGCTTCCCCTCCCCGGCACACCCAAACATACACACACATACACACATACATACACACAGAGAGAGGGACAGACAGACACAGACAGACACCATCACAAACAGACACATACCACTGGAGCACCGTTTGAGCCCCTCTGATTGTCGCCTACTTGTTTGCAATCCACAGATCAGTGGGCAAAGATGGGCACATAGATCTATGCATTGCTATGTCTGCCTGTGCCTGGTTTCCAACAGAGATAAACTTTCAGAAACCCTACAAAAGCAATGTGCAAAATAACTTTTTAGAAAAGAGGAAGAAAAGAAGAAGAAAGAGCATTCTTAAAGGGTCATCTCTTTAACACAGTCCTGTGGCTGGAAACAAGAAAGAAAGGGGAGGGAAAAAAATATTCAGCCTGAGATTGTAGTCCAAAATATTACACATCCCCTAAAACCATAACCTGTACATTTAGTTTTTATTCCTAGAAAAAATGTTGATGTCTATCTCTTTCTAGTTTTATTACTTTTATCATGCCTTTCTTCCTTTCCTCCCCTCCTCTTCCTCCCATTCTCTAACATTTTAACTTAAATATAAAATGATGGAATACGTATATAAACACACTGACACACATACCAACACAAAAACAAGCATACATGTACACAACAATGAATGAATGATTGATTGATTGATTGATTGATTGATTGATGGGGCATGACTTATCAGTATCAAGAAACTGCTGAGCCTGGTGTCATTTTTACACAACCAGCCTTTAGATTGGATGATCATAGTAATTTAAAGACCAAAGAATGCACTATGGATCAAGGAAATCACTCGTTGGTCTTGTCACATAAAATCTGATCCAGGAACACCCTGATACTAAGCATGATGATTGTTGTCAACATGGATTTTAAGTTCGATGCCCAAAGGAACTGATGACATGAGCTTGCTGAATTAAAAAAAAAGTGATTACATTCACCAACTATATTAACATGACCCTCTGGCTTCGAAATATATTTTCCATAGAAAATTACAAATCCATCTGACAAGTTTCAAAACACGTTCAGGGGATAGCTGAAAGAAGAGTGAAAAATGAAGGCAGTAAGAAGAATATGCTTCAAGTCAAACACAGCAGCATCTTGGTTGAGAATGGAAACTCATTCTTGGGTTCTCGCAGTGTTCCAGGTTATTCATTTGCTGTAGGCAATGGTATTATGCAGGTTTTCTTAAAACACAAGTGCATTTAAGCTGAGTCTCGTGCAATACCCAACCCATGTTGAGACTCCAGGTAACCAAGAGTCTCGGCAGACGTCACTCCCAACATGCAAAAATGGTGTGGCTTGCGACTTCGTATCAAGCATCCAAGCCAGATCGTGATGATGTAGTGCTCTGGGTCGTGACGATTTGTATAGTTTGCACTATATACAGGGGATAGGAAAAAAATGGACCAGATATTTTTGTGTGTGTGTGTGTGCAATAAGAAGTTGCAGAGTATGGAAAACTGAGCTAGTTCTGCATTGATGGTTTTAAAAAAAATAGTAATAAAGAATGGACATTCAAATAAAACTGACAATCGGTCAATGCAGTGGGAACAGCTTGGGAAGGATGCAGAAGCACCATCTTCTCAGGTTGTTTAATTTGACATTAAAGCATGGATAGATGGTTCTAATAGATTTAGTGACAAGGTAACTCGGATAGTTTACTTTAAGAGTGACATAGAATATATTATTAGACAGTCTGACGTAAGGGCCAATCAGCTGGTACAAATCCCTCATGACTTTTGTCTTTTAAACTCTCAATAGCAAAGTGCTCTTTCTTTTAATGTACATCTCCTTTGCATTTAATCATTTGATTGGTTCTTAGCTTGCATGTAGCAACTAAACATGTTGGCACATTTTAGAAATGGAGAAATGTCAAAGGGAAGTTTAGGAGTGAATTGATCATTCTAATGCATCCTTTTTTAAAAAAAAAATATAGATATATAGATATATGTAACAGAGACTCAAATTTTGACTTGATTAGAGGACTGACTAAATCCTTTCCTGTATTTGTACAATATGTTAAAGGTAAAATGCTTGTCAATATATTTGCATTAAATATGCATATTTTTTTCAGGCTTCAACCGAAAACACCATCCGCCACACAAAAGAACAATTGAATAGTTTCTCTGTGTAGAATTAGGATACACTGAGCATTCTCTTAGAGACACTAAATGGTAGCAGTCCAAATTGCCTTTCTTTTTAACCTCATTTCTAGAGAGCCAATGCGTTAAAACAAGACTTTCAAAATTAAATGGATTGGCCTGTGTTCCCCTTTTTGTGTGCTACATAAAGGCACGTATAAGACTGAACAATTTAGCTAATTTAGTTGTAGTGATAAGCCCAAAGGATGTCAAAAAAGTAAAAAAGAAAAAAGAAAGAAAAATAGGTGTGCTTGTTTATATGTTCAGTATTCCTTGTAAAACCTAGCCATCAAAAACATAATCAGCTTCTTAGTACCCAGCATGATTCACAGATATATATTTTTTCGTATGTGTTTTTCATTTGAAATTAGTCGAATTGGGAAACACTCCTATAGAGTGCTTTTATATTAAATAAACAAATAAACAAAAAATGGAAATGGAAAGTTTTAGAGCGAATGCAAAATATGCAATTGTGCCTTTTATACTGTTTGTCTTGGTAAAACAGCGCTTGGGTTACACACTAAAAATATTGGACTGTTCCCACTTTTTTTCAACCTGGATATTTAACCCGGTTTATTTTCTGAAAAGCATCAAATGATATATTTAAATAAAGGGGGAAAAAACCCTTCTACCACACTCAGATAATGGACTAGTCTTAAATATAATCCATTAAAAAAACAAAGAAAGAAGAGAAAGGTTATGCTTTGGGAACAGGTTGAACAGGTTGCGTTACTACAGTATTGATCTCAGTAACAAGAAATTATGTCTCTCTTTTTCAAGGACAGAGAAATTGACGAATCTTTGTTCATTCTCTTGTTGCTTTTTTAATATATGAAGAATATTTTTTTCAGCCATTCTGTTTTAATTCCTGTCTTAGTTTGATTTCACAAGGAACTCAAGTGAATGTGCTTTGCACACTCCTAGCTTGACATGCCACTTATGTAAACTTTATATGAATTAGAAAAAAAAAAGTCATATTAACTTTGATATAAACTCTTAATGCTCATTCCGACCTCCAGCTAGGCTAATATATGGTCAGTTTCATTCCTGGCTGTCCTACTGTCTGAGTTCCTGAAAACAAGATAGATGCTATTTTTATGTGCGGGGAAAGAACTCTGGTGAACAGATGGAAGGTGTTTGAAGAAAGACTACCCTAGGAAATTGTCATTGTTGGAAAGCAAAGGTGTGGGGAAATGGAAATGGGATTGAAAAACAAAAACAAAACAAAACAAAAGCATGTTAAGTACAACCATCACTAACAAGACTTGAACAACATTTGACAAAGCGAAGAATGGAACAAGTTTTCCAGATGTTCCATCAATGGTAAACAGCCAATGTTCTCTTAAGTACTGAAAGGAACAACATTAGCATTGGACAATTTCTTGAAGAACCTTGTACTTGGAAGAAGGCATCTTGCCTAGCTACCTGGGGTACCCTTTCAGGCCCTTCTTTTCCTGATTTTTGAAGCACTTACATTCAGTGTGGTTACGATCCGTTGTATTATTAATCATTGACTATTGTTCTGCTACTTGGATGTTAATAGTGAAGCAGAGAACCAACTTATTTGTTTATTATGAGTCACTATGCACGCAACTATGCTAAGAAAAAAAAACATGGCAAAAATGTATTCGATGCTAGTCCACCTCTATTTATGAAAGATTTTGCATAATTTTATTTGCTTTTGTACAGTTTTCTGTAAATAAATTGCTTGTCATTTTTTTGTCTGCAAATTAAAATATAACATGTTAAAATGGACACGTGTGGGTTTGATTTCTAGAAGTAGGAGGAGAGGAGAGGAGAGATACTGTAAGTTAAGAGTCCCCTTGCAGTGCGATGGTCAGCAAATAAATTTAACAAAGAAATAAAATAAAACAGGCTGAGAGGTGGAAGAGGTCCGCCCTTTGTTGACATTTACCTAGAGCCCTTTACCCTAACACCAACTTTTTATATAATATATGAACTCTCTAGGAAGGTCTTGCACAAATATAAACCTAATAGATGTGAGATCTCATTTTATTTCATTTTATTCCATGTAGCCTGCTTATTCTGAGGATATTCATCTACCAATTAAATATATGTAGTTGGCTTTTAATCCTAGTGGAAGCTACTAAAGTTGCAGGATCCAATCTGAGTCAGTCTTCAGGACCAAAGTTTTATTCTTCCAAGCTTTCGGATTTGTTCTGGGGCCCATCTTCAGGGAATCTCTCTCTCTTTCCAGAACATAGCAATAGCAGTAGCAGTAGCACTTAGACTTATATACCACTTCACGGTGCTTTACAGCCCTCTCTAAATGGTTTACAGAGTCAGCCTCTTGCCCCCAACAATCTGGATCCTTATTTTACCCACCTCACAAAGATGGAGGGCTGAGTTAACCTTGAGCCTCATGAGAATTGAACTACTGAACTGCAGGCAGCTGGCAGGCAGCAGAAGTAGCCTTCAGTACTGCACTTTAACCCCTGTTCCACTGCAGCTCTTTCTGGAGAG